GCTCAATGCAGGGGGTGGAACCGCAGGGGTGGCGGCCACCTCGGCTGCAACTGGGGGCGTCCCCAGTGAGGTTAGGCGCGATGTTGCCTTGGCTAAGGCAATACGCTAACCAGGAGGATGCAGCGTTCCTGTGGCGGGGTTTTAGGGAGGGCTTCGTGATCCCCTTCACGGTTAAGGAACCAGGGGCGGTTTGTGCCAATCTTAAATCGGTGCGGGAACGCCCGGAGGTAGTGCGGGAAAAGCTGGCCAAAGAGGTCCTTTTGGGGAGGATGGCGGGGCCGTTCCCGTATCCTCCTATAGCGGAGTTGCGGATATCCCCACTTGGAGTGGTCCCCAAAAAAGAGGCTGGCAAGTTTAGGTTGATTCATCATTTATCGTATCCTAAAGGGTCATCGGTGAATGATGACATCGACGCAGCACTCTGTTCAGTATCTTACACATCATTCGACAGGGCAGTCGAGTTGGTACGGAGAGCTGGGCGGGGAGCGCTGATGGCGAAGGTGGACGTGGAGGCAGCGTTTCGGCTGCTTCCCATACACCCGTCATGTCATCACCTCTTGGGGTGTTGTTTTGAAGGGGGCTTCTTTGTGGATCTGTGCTTGCCGATGGGTTGTTCCATCTCGTGCGCCTATTTCGAGAAGTTTAGCACTTTTCTGGAATGGGTAGTGCGACGGGAATCGGCCGGGGGCACGGTTGTGCATTACCTGGACGACTTCTTATGTGTCGGCCCTCGAGGCTCAGACCGGTGCAAGCAGATACTACGGGTGTTCCAATGGGTAGCGCAGACGATGGGGGTTCCTTTGGCGGAGGACAAGACCGTGGGACCCGCCACGTGTCTCAGTTTTCTGGGTTTGGAGATCGATTCGGAGATCGGGGAATGTAGATTACCACAGGACAAGTTGCACAAGCTGAAAGACTTGGTGCACACAATTGGGAGAGCACGGAAGGTGACGCTGAGGGGATTGCAGTCTCTGGTAGGGAGCCTGAACTTTGCGTGCAGGGTCATACCCATGGGGAGGGTTTTCTGTAGACGATTGGCGCGGGCGACGAGCGGGATACGGATGCCGTCACACTATATCAGGGTTTCCGCGGACATGAAGGCGGACTTAGAGGTGTGGGATCGTTTTTTGAGGGACTTCAATGGCAAGGCCTTTTTTCGGGAGCAAGTGGTGTCTTCGGAAGCAGTGGGGCTGTTTACGGACGCTTCGGGCAGCGTGGGGTTTGGGGCTTATTTTGCGGGACGGTGGTGTGCCGAGGCATGGCCCGAGGCATGGAGGGCGAGCCCATTGATCAAGAATCTGGCATTTTTGGAACTCTTCCCTGTAGTGGTTGCGGTAGCATTGTGGGGAGCTGAACTAGCAAACAAGCGAGTCGTGTTTTATTCGGACAATATGGCCGTGGTGCAGGCAATCAACAGTTTGTCGGCATCTTCGCTTCCGGTCTTATGCCTACTGCGGCGTTTGGTGCTCCTCTGCATGTCTTCCAATTTAGTATTCAGGGCTAGGCACATTCCGGGATTCTCAAATGTGGTGGCTGATGCGCTTTCTCGTTTTCAGTGGGATCGTTTTCGGGAAGCGGCTCCAGAGGCACGGGAATGCGGGCAGGCTTGCCCAGACGAGATGTGGCGACTCGGGACATCGTGCTTGGGGAATACATAAAGAAATCTTTGGCACCGAGCACGTGGTCATCCTATGCTAAGGTTTGGAAGGAATGGGAGGAAACGGTTGAGGAGGTAGGTGGGGACCTTTCGGAGGGCCATAGGCTGGATGTCTTCCTATGGTTGTTGTGCCGGTTGTTTGCAAAGGGGGCTTCGCCGGCCATGGTGGACAGGCATATGTCCGCCTTGGCTTTCTGGTTTAAATTCCATGGGTGGGAAGATTTGACAAAGCATTTCTTGGTTCGACAGGCGGTTCGGGGTTTTCGGAGGGGAAAGACGTCGACGGACGTTAGGAGACCGGTGTCTTTTGCGGTCTTACAAGGTTTGGTGGGAAAGTTACCGGAGTTATGTTCCTCGCCATTTGAGGTGGTCCTTTTTTCTGGTGCGTTTGTCTGGGCGTTTTTCGGGGCGTTTCGGATCGGGGAGCTGGTTAGCGCAAACAAAGTGGGAGTTGGTGGCTTGCAGCGAGAGGATGTGGAAGTTAAGAGTGATCGCGTGCAGATTAGGTTGGGCCGATCGAAAACTGATGTTTTCGGCAAAGGCTGCTCCGTGGTGCTATTCGAGTTGCCGGGGTCAGGGTTGTGCCCGGTGGCCTGCGGATCAGGGTACCTGGGGATCCGTCCTAACGTTAGCGGTTGTTTTTTCCTGCACGCTGACGGCACGGCGCTATCACGGTTTCAATTCATTAGGATTTTTCGTTTGGGCTTAGTGAAGCTGGGCCTGCAGCCCACGCAATTCGGGTCGCATTCGTTCCGTATCGGTGCGGCTACAGAGGCGGCACGCTTGGGTTTGGGTGACGAGCGGATCAAGAGGATCGGACGGTGGGAATCCGTGCGGTTTCGCTCGTATGTGAGGCCCGATGGGATGGTGGAGCTTTGAGGGGTTAAATGGCCGGGACTGGGGGACACTGGCTCTGCGGTGTAATTAATTTTGTCTCTTTTCAGGTTGGAAGGTTTGGTTGCTGGGACACTCGTTCGTATATTGGGCACAGAAGAGGGCCGCAGTTCGGAGACAAGGAACACAACTGGGCTTTCCTCTGGAACGGGCGGTCTTATCATGGTTTGGTTTTCGAGGTTTTAGTTGGCAGAGCTTGAGTAATGTTTTTTTTTTTTTATATATATCATTTTTATTGAGGGTTCAACATCATAGTATTACACAGTAGGATCTAATACATTGGAGCCGTAAGAAACGGGTACAGTAACAGATCTGAGTGGCAATTGATTTCCAGTTACTTAATTATTCAAGCGATGCTTCAGGGTGCCACATATACAACAGCTCCATAGGCTATTATTCCGTAATTGCTCTACTGGTTTCCTCAGAGTTGAGAGGTTTGCCAACGTGGCTATAACCCTTGATTTCTCAAGAAGAAAAAAAGGGGGGGGGGGAGGATGGAAGTAGGTGGGAGATGTCGGGAACTAGGGGGAAAAAAGAGGGGGGGGGGGTTTCGGGATGCTCCCCTATACATGTGTATTAGAGGGAGGTGTTCGTCGCCATGCTGTCACGGTCATCTACCATTTGGACCAAATGCCCTTATACTTCAGTAGGGTACCACTAATCGTGTGTGACATTTCCTCATACTGTTGGGTGAGATTCACTTTGGTAATTACCGACTGTATGTCTGGTGCTAAGGTGGATTTCCATAGGGCAGCTATTCGTTGCTTTGCAGCTAGCGTGATGTGGGTGATCAGTGTGGCCTCGTGGGCTGTTATTTCGGGTGGCATCATATGGAGCAGGTAGTGTTCAGGGGCAGGTGGTAGGTCTATCCCTACTCTGAGTTTTATCAGGTCTTGGATTTGTTGCCAGTATTGGCTGAGTGCAGGGCAGTACCAGAATATATGGCTTAGGGTGCCTTCTTGTTGGTTACAGCGCCAGCACGTTGCCCGGGAGCCCGGGTATATTTCGGCCAGCCGTTGAGGCGTATAGTACCATCGAAGCCATAACTTGTAGGCCGCTTCTACGTGGTCTAGGCAGTGTGTGGCTTTTTTTACTAATGACATGGCCCTCATCCATCTGTGCGGCTCAAAGGTACTTTTCAACTCCCTTTCCCATTGTAACATGTAGGATTGTTTTGTTGGCCTGTCTAAGTCTAATAGGCGATGGTAACATAGGGACAATGGCTTTTTGGGGGTTTTTTGGCCCAGGCACATCGTGTCAAAACAGTTGTGGGGTTGTGTGAGCATGGTTAGTTTTTTGACGTCTCCTATTATGTGTTTAATACGAATGTATGTGAAGATCTCCTTGTTAGGTATGAGGTATTTTTTCTGGAGGTCGGAGAATGGTAGTAGACCATCTATTCCCAGGAGATGTGATATTCTGGTCACTCCTTGTCCTATCCATCCCTGCAAGGGGAGGTCGTGAGTGTGGTGCTGGAGAGTAGTCAGCGGGGCAAGGGCTTCTATGTTCCCCCCGGTCATTTTTGGGGCCCATCTGAGCCACACCTGGAGTGATCCCCTCGATGTCGAGAGTAGCTTGGGATAATGGGGTTGGGTCTTTGTCGTGGTCCACAGTAGGTCGCCGAGGGATAGAGGCGCGCTGAATGCACTCTCTAGGTGGAACCACATTGGGTAGTCTGAGGGAGCCAGAAGGCGTGCCATCTGGGCCAGGTGTGTCGCTAGATAGTATTTGGTTATGTGGGGCACACCCACCCCACCTCCTCCCATAACCATACTGATGTTCGCCAGAGATACCCTTGGTGGTTTCCGTTTCCATATGTGCGCATTAATAAGGCTTTGGAATGCCCGGAGGGTGTACTTGGGGAGGGTAATCGGTAGGGCTCTAAAAAGAAATAGTATTTGTGGGAGGATGACCATTTTGATGGCATTGATACGTCCTAGCCAAGATGTGTTTTTGGTGCCCCAGCTATCCAGCCGTCGTTCTATGTCTCCCATCAATTTCCTATGGTTGTGTCTTATGAGTTTGGTTTTTGAGGGTGTCAGCTGTGTGCCTAAATAAGAGAGGGTGTCCTTCCTCCATTCGAAGGGGTGGAGTACTTTAAGAGATTCAAGTTGGGATCTGGGCAGGTTCATGGGTAGCACCTGTGTTTTTGCTATGTTGTTTTTATAGTAAGATACACGGCCGTAGTCGTGCAAAAGGTGCAGTAGAGTGGGGAGTGAGTCTGAGGGCCTGGTGAGAAAAAGGAGGATGTCATCCGCAAACACTGCTAGTTTATGTTGTCCCGTTGGTGAGGGGACCCCCGCGATGTTAGAGTTTGCCTTGATTTTGTGGAGTAGGGGTTCCATTGCGAGAATGAATATGAGGGGCGAGAGTGGGCAGCCCTGTCGTGTGCCGTTCGTCAGATCAAAGCGTCTAGAGACGAAGCCAGAGCTCATGACAGTCGCCCGGGGGGAAGTGTACAGGGATAAGAGTCCAGTCAGGAATTGGGGCGGAAAATTAAACTTGCGCAGGACCTCCGACATATAGCCCCAGTGGAGCCTGTCGAAGGCTTTCTCCGCATCTAGGGCAACTATAAGGCCTTGTAACCGGTCAGAGTCCATGAGTTCCATTATGTCCAGGGCCCGTCTGGTGTTGTCCTCGACCTGGCGGCCCGGGACAAAGCCCGACTGCTCAGGTGAGACGAGTTGGCTTAGGAGGGGTCGGATACGGTTTGCTAGGACCTTGGCGAATAGTTTGGTGTCGGCATTGAGGAGCGAGATCGGGCGGTAGTTTGCACATAGGTCTGTGGGTTTACCTGGTTTGGGAATTGTGACAATTGTGGCTTCCAACATCTCTGGGGGTATGTTACCCGTGACTAGTATGTGGTTAAATAATGCCGTGAGGTGGGGGAGTAGTTGGTCCTCAAACACCTTATAATAGTGTACGGAGTAGCCGTCCGGTCCTGGGGCTTTATGTCTCGGGGTGTCTCGTAGTGCCCTAGTGATCTCGGCTGGTAGGATCGGGGTGGTCAGCGTTGCGGCCTGCGCGGTGGAGAGCTGGGGGAGATGTATACCCTCCAGGAAGGTGGCGATGTTCTGAGGGGTGGGCTGGTGTTGGGTGGAATCCCCGGAGAGATTGTATAATTTTGCGTAAAAAGTAGCAAATTCGTCTACAATCGCTTTGGGGTTCATGATTTTGGTTCCATGTTCATCCTTGATATAGGGGATTTTTACCTGGGAGATTCTCGCCTTAAGCTGAGAGGCCAGCAGTTTACCAGCCCTATTCCCCTGCCTGTAGTAAGTTGTTTTCATCTTCCTAATGGCTCTCTCTACCCGTTGCATTTGTAGTGTTTCTAACGTGGATCTAATGTTTTGGACTTCGAGTCTATGGGGTTCAGTGGGTGAGGCTTTGTGTCGTGATTCGGCTAACTGTAATTCCTTCAGTAGGGAGTCACTTTTTTCAGATAGTTGGCGCTTCAGTTTTGCCCCCATCTGTATGAGTGCTCCACGGGTGACTGCCTTGTGGGCTAGCCATGTCGTGGTGACGCTCGTGTGATTGTAGTGATTGACTTCGAAGTAATGTGTTAGTGATTTCTGGATCTCAGAGGCCCTCTCAGGGTTATCTATGAGGGACTCATTGAGCCTCCATTGCCCCCGTCCTCGGACTGGGTGTAGTGTGGTAAATGATGATGTGAGGGGGGCATGGTCTGACCAGGTTATCGGGGCAATAGCGACCTCCGCTAGGGTATCCAGGGTTTTAGTGTCGACCCAACACATGTCGATGCGCGAATATTGGTCATGGACCTTGGAGTAAAAGGTGTAGTCCCTAGAGGCTGGGTAGAGTGCCCGCCAGGTGTCATGCAGGTTATGGAGATGGAGGAGCGTCGTCAGTTTGTCCCCTAGGAGCTTGTCTCTTGGGTGGGAGCCCGGTGTCCCTGATCTGTCTAGGTCAGGGTCTAACACACAGTTAAAGTCCCCGCATATCATCGTCTGTCCCTTCTTTAGTTTGTCAACCTTTCTCAGTGCCTTTCGTAGGAAGTCGTACTGGTTGACGTTGGGGGCGTAAAGGTTTGCTATAGTCACCTGTGCGTCATTGAGGAGGCCCACCAGGATCAGGAACCTACCGTCAGGGCTCTTGTATTCCCTTTCACATTGGAAGCTCCAATCTGAGTGGAATAGTGTGCTGACCCCTCTTGTCTTGTTAGGCGCTAGGGCGTGGTACGCTAGTGGATATGAGGAGGCCGAAAACTTTGGGGGGTTCGTGGCTGAAAAGTGGGTTTCTTGTATGCATGCGACCGAGGCCTTCAGGGCTTTCAGTTGAGACAGGGCCAGTCTGCGTTTTTGTGGGGTATTCAGGCCATGGGCATTCAGGGACACCAAGAGAAACTTGCTAGGGGGGCTCATTGCATTGGGGGTTGGGCGCCTCGTGGGCACATCTGGGTGATTGAGGTTGTCTCATGGGTTTAACGTAGTAAGGCTTAGGGAGGTCCTGGGCAGATACTTCATCTCTTAGCTCATGGTAGAAAGGGAGCATCTCAAAGGTAGGGCCGGGGCATGGGAAATAACAGAGCTGATAACGGTGGGAACAAAAATATACAACATAAACAAAGTATATACAGAGCAAATAGCTAAGAAGCATTATGGGGAGGACGCCTCCGCCGAGCGCGTACCCTCTATTGTTCTGAGAGGGGGCTGCAGCGGCGAGTGGTGTCCCAAGAGAACTTCGGGGGGGGGGGAGGGAGGGGGTTCTTCAGCATTCGGTGAGGCCTAAACGCCTGTCACAGTCCAATCACCCGGTATGTCTGAGTAGCTGGAGTGGGGCAAACATTCCCCGGGGCCCACAGGGGGGGGGGTCAGCGAAGGTTGCAGGTAGCAAGGGTGTGGGCCTAGGCCAGTTCATGAGTCTCATCATAGCCTTCTAGGGCCTAGGAAGATGTGAGGCGGGGGTGGAAGAGACCTTCGCCCCCCTGGAGGTGTGAGTCCAGATAAGTCTCTCCCTTGGGTAGCATTCCCGGTTTCCGGGAGGGGGGCGGCCAGCCCGGGGTATGGGGTGGCGGGAGGTGCTGGTGGTAAGGTGGCTGAGCGTGGTAGGGCCAGGGTACAGCTGTACTCACGTGCAGATGTAAAACTTTGGTGTTGCCACAGTTCATAGGGCGGGTGTAGGCCCGAAGGGTGCCCCAGGGTTTGGAGAATAAGCCGGCAGCGGCCCATGTTAGGAGGAGCCGTGGTGGCGACATTGCTCAGGCCTTTGTCCAGCTTGTGGCCACTTTCCGCAGTGGGGCTGGGGTCGTGGGAGCGTTGTCAGTGGGAAATAATCCCCAGGATTTGAGGGTCTCCATTCCTTGGATCGGGTCTTCAACTTTGGTCAGTGATCCATTGCGCCATATCAGGAGTTTAGTGGGGAAACCCCATCTGTAAGGCACTTTGTGGTTTCTGAGGCACTTTGTAACATTGATAAAGTCCCGTCTTCTGGACATCGTCGTCGGTGATAGGTCAGCATATAGTGATATCTCCTCAAATGTAGGTGGCATTTCTGATGCCTTTCTCTGCGCTGTGAGGATTGCTTCCTTTGCGCTGTAATAGTGTAATCTGGTCACTACGTCCCTAGGGACATCTCGAGCAAGATTGGCGGGTTTTGGTACCCGGTGTGCTCGGTCAAGGCGTAAGTCCGCTAGTGCCAGGGCTGGTTGGATAGCCTGAAAGAGGCGCAGTAGGTAGGACGGTAGATCCTCCTGTGTCACCTTCTCCGGTACTCCTCGCACGCGGATGTTGTTGCGGCGGGAGCGGTCTTCTAAGTCCGCCATTTTTTCCGTCATGCGCCTGTTGTCTTTTTCCAGTTGCTGCAGCCTGCTCACTATTGCATCGTTGGCTTGGCACAGCTCATCAGTTTTTTCCTCCAGTACATTCACCCGTGTCCCCACTTCCAGGAGGTCTTTGCGCAGGTCTGAGACCACTGCTTGAAAGTCGGTTTTCATAGACGTGCGCAAGTCATGGAGCATAGCTGCTAATTTCACCTCTGAGATAGAGAGATCCCCTGTGGGGGTTTGCCGTGATTCATTATCAGAGCCTGTTTCAGACATGTGTGTTGGTGAGCGGGAGCCGCCTCCATCTTGGTCGGAACGGAGCCGTTCTTTTTTTCCTTGCCGGAAAAAATCGGATGATCGCTGGGCTTTTGGAGGGGCCATGCTGGGGTGGGGGGATGTTCCCCTTACCTCTGATGCCGTTTGCGGGGTGGTGTGGGCTGTTTGCCGCTGTTTATGCCGCGTTTTAGGCCGGTCCGGTCACGGAGCACTCACTGCATGCGACCGTTTGGTGCGACCGGAAGTCCCGCCCCTTGAGTAATGTTTTATTTACAAAAGTGTCCAAGGGTCCGGTTCCGGATGTTGTAGTGGTGCACGGTGGGGGGAATGACTTAGGGCTGATTCCGCAACGGGAACTGTTGCCGCGAATGAAGAGGGACATGGATCGGCTACGGGAGCTGGTCCCTGACGTGGTGGTGGTGTTGTCCGAGATGGTGCCTCGTTTTACATGGCGTCACGCCAGGGACCCTGCTGCGGTGGCACGATGCAGGGGGAAGGTTAATAGAGCTATGGCAGTATTTGTTAAGAGGATGGGGGGAATAGTGGTGAGGCATCGGGAACTGGAGGGCATGTTGCCAGGTTATTATAGGAGGGATGGAGTACACCTGTCAGAGGTGGGGTGTGACTTGCTGAACTTGGGGTTCCAGGAGGGCATAGCCCGAGCCCTGTTTCAGTGTGGTGGGGGTCGCACATGGTCTTAAGGGGTCAAGACAAGTGCTGTGGCGGAACAGGGCGTGGTTAAGTTGGAAGTTATCAAGGAATTGGAACTGTACAGGCCAGGGCCTAGGCTGAAGTAGGCCAGACGGTGTCATGGTTGGTAGGTTCTAGCTCTTCGGTGGCGACGAACCTGGGGGTGTAGGGGTGTCTGGGTACACCCCTACAGTTATCATTATGATATGGGGCCTCGTTGGTAGGCCGGATGTTTACAAGTTTATTGGTAATTGATGTTAATTATTGTTCATGTGGTAGGGTCATTGTCAGGGGATTGTGCGGGGGGATAATAAATAATGTCATTTATGACAATGACCCTAATTATGTTAATTTATTCATATTAATAAAGCTGTGGACGTTATACTCCAACAGTATTAAACGTGTCCGTGTATTATTAAAGTTAAAGTTTATAGCACATGCCGAATAACGACAGTGCAAATGTCATGAAGCCCATGGAACAACGAAGTAAGGGGAGTGGGCCTTGACAGAGCCAGGAGTGGGCAGGTGCATTCAGTTAGGGGTTGGTTTAAGCTAATGGAGCTTGGGGGCGGGATCAAAGGGGGTTGAAATAACGGCCATCTTAGAGAGTGGCCATTTTAATCAGAACTTCACTTACCTGTCAGTTGTCCCACCCACCCTCCCTGTGTTGAGGTGAATTTCCCGTTTTGTCACAGTGGCGGGAACAGGGCGTGGTTAAGTTGGAAGTTATCAAGGAATTGGAACTGTACAGGCCAGGGCCTAGGCTGAAGTAGGCCAGACAGTGTCATGGTTGGTAGGTTCTAGCTCTTCGGTGGCGACGAACCTGGGGGTGTAGGGGTGTCTGGGTACACCCCTACAGTTATCATTATGATATGGGGCCTCGTTGGTAGGCCGGATGTTTACAAGTTTATTGGTAATTGATGTTAATTATGTTAATTATTGTTCATGTGGTAGGGTCATTGTCAGGGGATTGTGCGGGGGGATAATAAATAATGTCATTTATGACAATGACCCTAATTATGTTAATTTATTCATATTAATAAAGCTGTGGACGTTATACTCCAACAGTATTAAACGTGTCCGTGTATTATTAAAGTTAAAGTTTATAGCACATGCCGAATAACGACAGTGCAAATGTCATGTCTCCTGTCTCAATTGGCAACAAGAAGGATGGTTTGAGCTTACCTGATACACATGCTCCCTCCCAATCTTGTGGTAACTCTGAATATGCTTTCTTACCACAGATCCAGTACAAATTCACTGGGGTTTTCGAATTGGATGTAGCAGATAAGTCAAACCATACCTCTTTTAAATTGGTGTAATTGGCAAAAGGATTAGTAGGCTCTGAGACATTTGAAGCTGACCACCAAGTAGTATCTTTTGTATCAGCATTATAGGCCTTCTGTCCTAAGCAGGTTAACTCTCCAACAGATGTATTATACAGTGGCCCTCTTCTAGCTAAACATACATGGCCTATGATAAATGTTTTTAAACGCCATTCTGATTTACC